GCGGTCCCGAAAAAAAACAACAACAACTCATGCACCGGGATCGGGCCGGCGACCGCGGTTCCCAATCAGTGTCGGAGCTAGCACACACCACAAGCGGTGAGCTTCGATGCTCCGGGGCGCATTGCGCGGGTACAGGTTTGGTGCGGTGCAATGCACTGGCACACGCAGTGTGGCGCGGTGCGGTGCAACGCGGTGCAGTGCGGTGCGGCGCGGACACCGAAGCGGTGCAGGGTGTTGCTCGGGGGCGCATTGCGCGGGCCCAGGCGTGGAGCGGTGCAGTCCGGGACGACGCGGTGCGGTGCACGGTCCAGTCCAGAATGAAAAGAAAAGAACAATAAACGACGACGACGCGAAAAACGAACCACGCGACGATGAAGGCAGCGCTCCCGAACGAAAAATAGAAGAAAGCGGGCGCCGGGCGACGAAGCCAGCGAGCCGCAACGTAAAAAAGGATAAAACGACGCATCGGCGCCGGGATCGAACCAGCGACCGCGGCTCCCACTCGACATCGGAGCTAGCGCGCACGACGAAGCGGCGCACGGCCATGATCCGGTGGATTTGCGCGTTTAATCACGGTGCGGTGCGGTGCGGTGCGGTGCTGTACGGTGCGGTGCACGCTCCCGAACGAAAAAAATGGCAAAAATGTGCGGGCGCCGGGTTCGAGCTGGCGACTGCGGCTCCCACACGGTGACAGAGTCAGCATGATGATATAGCAGGACGAAGCATAAGGAGGTGAGACATGGCGAGAGGGGTGCGCGGCCTCCATCCAAATAAAAAAAAAACGGTACACGAGCGAACGCGACCGCGACCGACCAGCGAACGCGACCGACCGCGCAAACCGTCCCGCGGGTCAGGTTGTGTTGCGCATCACACTTCGGTGCGCGTTGTGTTTCTATTCCTTGCTATTCTTGCTATCGTTTCTACTCACTGCTATTCGTCGAATCTATTCATTGCTACTGCTTTGCAACGTGGACTGACCTTGTAGCGTGTAGGATGTGCAGACGAGGATGGCGATGAATAGCCATTGATGGTGATGAACAACCCGTTGATGTGCCGAGATGTG